AATTCTTTTGGGAAGAAATGGATTCTCTACATTTTGTGAAAATATTTTTAAGATGTCTACATCTGTGTTTATGAGGAATAATTGTCCACACTTTTTCCTTATAAAATTGTAATCATTGATATCAAAATAATATTGACCTCATAAAATGAGTTCTTTGGAATTTTCTCTTGAAGGCTGAGGATATAGCTTAGTAGTAGAGCAGTTGACTAGCATTTACAAATCCCTGGGTCAATCTCCATCCAGTACCACAGAAAGAAAGAGAGGAAGAAAGAGGGAAATATGAATTTCTTCTTCAATTCTCTGTAAGAATATGTAGAATTTCTTCCTTAAATATTTGGTTAGAATACCCCAGTGAGTTTTGTTTTGGGGAACGTTTAAACTAGACACCTGATTTTTAAAACTAGATACAAAGTTATAAGTGTATTTGGTTACCTAATTCTTTGTGAATATGCTTTAGTTGCATCTTTCTAGAAATAGTTGCATTGACTTGAGTTAAAATTTATTGACATAAAGGTGTTTATAACACTCTTAACTTGTAGGATCTATTGTGTTATTACCTCTCTTCTTCCTGATACTGTAATTCACATGTCCTAATTTTTTCCTTAATCTTTCTAAAAGTTTGTCAAAATAATTTTTCAGAGTTGATTGTTGGCTTTCTTCTGTTATTTTTGTTCTCTATCTCACTGATCCCTCCTCCGATCTTTATTATTTCTTTCCTTCTGTTTCTTCTGACTTTCATTTGCTGTTCTTAATTTCCTCAGGTAAAGGTTGTCTTGATTTGAAGCTTTTTTTTTAATTTTTGCTACATGGTTATAAATTCCGTAAGTGCTGCTTTATTGGCATCCCACAAGTTTTATCACTTTATGTTTTTGTTTTGATTTATAATACTTCCTAATTTTCCTTGTGATTATTTTTATTGACTCATGGGCTATTTAGAAGAATAATTTCCAGATACTTTAGGGTTTTCTAAATATTTTACGATTGTTGATATCTAATTCATTCCATTGTATTCAGAGGATATGCTTTCTGTGACTTGTATCTTTTTAAGCTGAGGTTCATTTGGTGGCTCAGAATGCTCTCTATTTTGGTTATGTTTGCTGTGCTGTTTGCAAGAATGCTGAGGTGTTCTTGGAGATACGTTCTGAATAAAAGTGCCAGTCACATTGGCTAAGAGCAGTGTTCACACCTTCCTATCATTTTTTGTCTACTTGTAAATCAGTTGTGGAGAGAGTGATACTAGAATCTCTTGACTTATATGGATTTCTCTATTTCTCCTGACAATGCTAGCAGTTTTTGGTTTTTTGTTGTGAAACTATTACTGGGTCATAAATGTTAAAGATTATGACCTCTTGAGAACTTTACCTCTGACATTATGAAATGACCTTCTTTATCCCTAAAAATGTGTGATAATAATGTAGCCACTTTCGCTTTCTTTTGATTACATTTTGCTTGGTATATTTTTCAAGTATGTTTCTTTTAGGTGGCAGATAGTTGATTATTACTGTTTATAAGTTATTTTCTCAATGATTTAAAGATTACTATGTAAAATCTTAACATGGTTTACATAAAGTTTCTCTGACTTAATTTGGTAAAACCCAGAAACTTTGCTCCAGTATGATTTCCATTCTTCCATCGTCCTCTGTCCTTTTATTACATTTATTACATTTGTGTTATAAAGCCAAGTATAATTTTTTTTATTTTTTAAATTTTATTTTGAGAAACAAATGAGACAGTTTCAAAACTGACTAATAGGACAGTCTCAATAATTAATATACATTGTACATTGTTATCTTCTTAGTGGTTATCCGTAGTACAAGATGCAGACAGAATATCCTGTCCAAACACTATTAGTATAAATCTTTCTTCTCATTGAATTAAGCGAAAGTAGCTGTATCTATCCTATTCTGCATATTCAGATACAAAATGGTCCTTCCTTTGTATCGCCTTTTTTTGTTTAGTCCTGTCAGAAATGGGTATTCCATTGGCATCTAAATACTATAGGTCATGAATTCAGCAAAACAATCCAGCACAGTCCAGCAGTCTATCATAGTAGTAGGTTATCCATAGAAGTTGTTGACTTGAGCCTTTCACAGCTCAGCACATTAATAAAGCCAAGTATAATATTGTAGTTATTGCTTTCTGCATTGTTACATTTTTAAAATTTTTTTTAAAAGGCTGGGTGTGGTGGGGCCTGCCTGTAATTCCAGCATTCTGGGAGGCTGAGGCAAGAGGATGACAAATTTAAGCCTGGCCTGGGCAATTTACTAAGGCCTTATCTCAAAATAATAAAGGGCTTGGGCTATAGCTCAGTATAAATGCCCTGGATTCAATTCCTAGCACAAGGGGATAAAAACAGAAGAAAAGAGATGAGAGCATCTTCAAGCAGAAGGGCCAACCTCAACCCTCTTTGGCAAAGCAGCACAGGGCCACTTACCCTTTTCTCACAGGAATGTGTCTCAGTGGTTGAAGAGTCGAAAGAGTGAGAACTAGTGGAAAGATAAAAATAACTTAGTGTCTCATCACTTCCTCTGTGATAATAGACTGTCCATAAACAAATAAGGGAAATTCTCATTATGTTGTATGAAGTTAGGTGTAACACTTTCTACCTGCCCACCCCCAACATGAGATTAGCACTTGGTGTTAGTCACACTCCCTTAGACCACTGCTTATTCCTAGCATTTTAAAACATGTAGGCCGAATGAGTTCTCTGTGGTCAAGTAACTCCTAACCTGGACAGATTTTTTTCCACAACTCTGATTCTTCCTGCTTACCATATGCTGAAAGAGACAAGAGAGTAGAAAGACTCCTCTTCACACAGGACACCTCTTCATGTTCCCATAATGTTATTATTCCTCCAACCCTTACTCTTTTTGGGGGGTGGGAAGAGAGAGGGTATTACTGCTTGCTTGCTTGCTTGCTTGCTTGCTTGCTTGCTTGCTTGCTTGCTTGCTTGCTTTGAGACAGGGTCTAGTTCAGCCTGGACTTGAACTCCCTAGGTAGCCCAGGCTGGCCCCTGCCAGCAGTGATCCTCCTGCCTCACAGCAATCCTTCTGTCTTAGCCTCCCAAATGCTAGGATTACAGGCATGTGCCATCATGCCCAGCCCATACTTTTTTTTTTTTTTTGGGGGGGGGATGGTCTACAGAGTGTTCAGGGTCTCACTACTAAATCGGACTTATAGTGATCCACCTGTTTACAGCCTCTCAAGAGCTGGGATTACAGGTGCGTGCCACCATGCCCAGTCTTCATGCTTCTTTTTAAAGAGAACTTCATCATCTGTCTGGAAGATGGTACAGAATACTGTTCTTTCCTTGATCCAGTCTTTAGTTTCTCCTCCCCTTTCTACCTTCCTAGCATTATTACAGATTTAGGACTAAGATGGGAAAGGTTAAATAAGAAAGGGTAGGGAAAGCTAGGAGTTCTGCCATTAGGCAGGCTATGGTTGAATAGTACATTAAGAATTACTAATAGTCAAAGAAAAGCTTGGTTGTTTTATTTTATTATTATTATTATTTTTTTTTTTTAACAGTAGCCACTGTTCAAGGTTTATTTGGTATTGTAGTTGGTGTGACGCTGGGTTGCACTGTTCACAGGTAGATCTTTTTACATTATATGGCAAAGTACACTACTCATATATATATAATACACAAAATAAAATCCTTTAAGACAGTTATGCACAAGACATGCAGTATTGGGTTTGTACACTGGATCCCAGGCTAGAACCAACTGGGGAAAGGTCAGACAAGGCTTGGTGGGTGAAGCTGTGTAACCGAGTAACACACATCTGTTTGAAGAGTAACTGGAGCCTGTGCAGTGAGGTGTCTCAGATGCTGGGCTACTTGATACTAACCAGGACTACAAGTGCAGCACCATCCGGCATCAGGACAGAGCTGTGGAGTTTTGTGAACCGTTTCTACTTTAACTTTCAGAAACTGTTTTCCCCAGGACATCTTAATAGTGCTGCTTCAATCACATGTGAGCTAAAAAGGACAACGGGCACAACTCCAACTAAGCCCTCCTGTAGCCTAGACAGTGACGTGGCGACACTGGAAGACTCTAAAACTGCAGCTCCTTCTGGATCGACCACAGGGTGTCTGCACTCTTCTTCAAACGTTCCTCTTCCTCAGAAGTCAGAGTCACCTTCACAACATCAGAGATCCCATTCTGTCCCAGGACACAAGGGACACTAAGGAAAACATCATCCTTGATTCCATAGAGCCCCTTAATCATGGTAGAAATTGGGTGCACCCTCCTAAGGTTCTTCATTATACTTTCTGCCAAATCTGCCACCGACAGTCCAATGGCCCAGGATGTGTAGCCTTTCAGTTTGATCACTTCATAAGCGCTGTCAACCACCTGTTTGTGAACCTCTTTCCAGTGCTCCTTATCCCCATCTGTTCCTAACTCAGGGTGCAGATTCTTCAGGGTGACACCAGCAACATTCACACCACTCCACACAGGGACGCTGGAGTCTCCGTGCTCCCCGAGGATCCAGCCGTGGCAGCTCAGTGGGTGCATGCCCAGCCTTTCCCCCCATCAGGTATCGGAACCGGGCTGAATCCAGGTTGCAACCACTGCCGATAACACAGTTCTTAGGAAAGCCACTTATCTTCCAAGCCACATAGGTCAAGATGTCCACTGGGTTGGACACAACAAGCAACTTGCAGTTGGGACTGTACTTCACAATATTAGGAATGATGAACTTGAAGATGTTGACATTACGCTGCACCAAATTAAGACGGCTCTCTCCTTCCTGCTGCCGGGCTCCAGCGGTGATGATAACCAGCTTGGAGTTGGCGGTTACATTATAGTCTTTGCCAGAGACAATTTTTGGTGTCCTGAGGAAAAGGCTGCCATGCTGGAGATCCATCATCTCTCCTTTCAATTTGTCTTCCATGACATCAACAAGAGCAAGTTCATCTGCCAAGTCCTTCATCAAGATACTGATGGCACAGGCCATGCCCACAGCACCAACCCCGACAACTGTGATCTTATTCTGGGGCACCTGTTCCTCCTTAAGGAGATTCACAATCAGCTGATCCTTGAGACTGGCCATCTTGGACTTAGAACCATGAGGAACCGGGAATGCACGTGGGGCGGGCGTCGGGGTGCACGCTTCTCAGATCCGGACTCAGCGGCAGCAGCTCCGACACTCGGAGCAGCTCACGGGAGGGGCCTTAAGTAGAATCGCTTGGTTGTTTTAATTTCCTCTTCTAAAACTGGAATCTTAGGTCACAAGAATGACTTTCTAGAGTTTTTTTTTTTTTTTAAAGTGCAGGCAGTAGATAAGGGCTTTGATAGGCATCAATCTAGGTTGAAAGAAAATTTTTCATTTCACATTGTCATTTTGCATGGAAATTGTGTATAAAGAAAGCGCTTATTGTTTGTAAATATTACTCTGTCCAGGGGTTAAAAATACTTGGGCAAAGGGATAGAAAGAATGACCAGCTTTATAATAAAGCCTCACCCTTTTGTGCATACTCACAAGTGCTTCACAGTAACACATTAAAAACTACTGAAGTGTAATCAGTCTCTGTCCTAATGACAAGACATCTTCATCCAGAAAGCTTCCAGGAGTAGGACAAGAACTTCACATTTTTCTAAGCTGCAGCAGGGAATAAATAGAAAGAGCTTGTATTTCAGGGCTTTTCCTGGGAATGTGTTTTATACACGGCAGAGGTTAAATCATGGCTTTTGGTCACAGTGAACTGTTTCCTGTTTTCAGGGGATTCCTTTTAATGCCAAAATGTAGCAGCTGAAAAACAAAGTTTTCCCAGAAGCAAATGTACTTACTGCTTTCTGTTTAAACATTATGTTGACAGCAGCTATTAACTGTATTTCCATAAATGTCAGGGCTATAATTTTTTAATCGACCTCTTCATCCCATTAACCATAAATTAGTTTGATCAGAATTTTTAGTGTGTTGGAGATGAAACTACTTAGTTAATATTTTCCTCCTCTGACTGGCATAAAGTAAAATTTCCTGCTTAGGTGAAGGAGTGGAACAATTATATGTACTGGTCTTAAATGATGATTTTTCACTTTCCTCATTATAGTCATCTTTTAGAGCTGCATTTGGAGTCCATAAATTTAGAAAACCTACTCAGTAGTGGACCCTCCTGGCTGCCTGATAGAGGCCTGGTCCAGACACAGCAAGAGTAGCTGTGTAGATATGAATATTGTGACTTTATAAGAAAGAGGGGGCAAGGGGTATAGCTCAGTGGCATAAGCACTTGCCTGGCAAATGCAGTGTCATGAGTTCGATCCCTGGTATCACAAAAAAAAAAAAAAAAAAAAAGAGGGGCTGAGGGAAGTTGCAGAGGAGGGAGGTGCCTGAGGAGTTTGAATGGTATTCTGATGTTCTATTCCTTTGCTGTGTATTTTGTCTCCATTGTAACTCCCACCTGCAATACCAAATGCTATAAAATGTTTTGGTTGCCAGTACTCTTGTTTAGCTTTGAAGTAGTTGTCTCATAATGTATTTCCTTAGATAAACCATTACATATTGGATCAGCATCCCAAATTTCATTCTCAGAAGTAGGGAAGAAGTCAGATTTGAGATAGCCGCTAGAAATTCTAAAGACTAGAGCTTTGATTCTGCAGGATAGGGACCTTCAATCAGAGAGATGACATGTTTACCCATGACCATACAGTTGGGTCTCCAAACTCCCAGACCCAGGCTCTTTCGGTAGAGTAGCCCTCCTCCCTAGCATTTCAGTAAGTTTCCATAAGTAAGTATTTTTATGATGAGTAATGCTGAGAAGTAAAAATCAGATAAGTAACATTTTCAAGAGCTGCTTAATTATTTTACTAAAAGCAGAATTATTAAATTGTCTGGGTCAAGAAATCTTTTTATGTATCATTGCAGATAGTATGCATAGTCCTTTACTTCTTACATCATGAGAAATAATTTTTTTCTTCCTCATCTTCTTCAAATGGAATGCCAGTATAATGATGTGGCATCTATAGAGGAGCTGAAGTTTGACAGGTTGATTTCATTATATACACAGTTGCTCTGGAGTTTTGTAAATGAATTTAGCTTGAGGTCATCCTGCCAATTTAGGGTGACCTCTCCATTTATAAAAACAGGTTATTTATAAAGATGCCTTGTTGCTGCCTCCTGATAAATAATTATGGAAAGGGTAATTAGCCATTAGACACTATTGGGAGGTGGAAAGAGAAACTAGTTTCCTTTCTGAATGTGCTGTTTAGATCCACGGGAAAACAGCTGGTCTGCTTATCGATAAGCATCACTCAAAACTTAATGGCTTCAAACAATGACAGCATCTGTTTAGCTTATGAATCTACTTTGGATGAGACTTGGTGAGGATCCCTGCTCCACTCAGATTCATCTGAAGGAGCTCAATGCTCTTGGAGGCTGGATTCATCTGTTGGCTCCCTCCCTCATGTCTGGCAAGTGATGTTGACAGTTGGCTGAGACTTCCTGGGACTTTGACTGGAGCATCTATACATACAGTCTGTCTTCCACAAGCCAGCCTCCCAAGGGCAAGTGTCTTGAGAAAAGAGATAGGCAAAAAACATTTCACCTTTTGTTACCTAGACTTTGAAGCCATGTGATGTTGTTTCTGCCAACTCTTTGTCAGGCAGACACAAAGGCTTCCCTAGTTAGAGAAAAACAAATACGTACCACCTCTTGATAGGATATAGAAAGGTTCTGAAGAGAGTGTGAGGCCAGAATATTGCTGTCGCCATTTCTAGAAAAATCCATTCTGCCCCAATGACCATGTAATGTCTTTTATATGTAAGTAATTAGAGAAGCCCGTAATGGATTGGCCTAACATAGCCTTAAAAGTGTGTTTACCTCACAAGGAGAGGAAATTTGGAGAAGTTAAACAACACAAAAGCGAGATAGCTCAGTGGTCTAAAGCACCTGCTTATGCAAGCTAAGGCAGGCACAGGGGACTGCAGTTCAATCCTCTCAGAGGGAGAGGGAGAGGGAGAACAAATGGTATTCAGGGGAAAGCATTGTACTTCATTCTAGTTGGATATGGTATGTTTGTAATTGAAGAACTTAGTAATAAGTCATGTGAGATGTAGCTTGTGTCCTGTATCACGAAGATTTTCTCCTGAAAATTTTGTGTATTGGAGTTGGGCATGGTGGCATGCCTATAATTGCAGCACTCAGGAGGCTGAAGCAGGAAAATTTCCATGAGTTTGAGACCAGCCTAGACTACTAAATAGTGAGTTCGAGACCAGCCTGAACTACATAGCAAAATCATGTCTTAAAAACCATTAAAAAATGTATATTGGATCTGTGCTCTCTATCGAGTTCATTTCTGTATATGTGTATATGGTATTAGGTGAACTGTATAGCCTATGCACTCATTTAAGTTGGGGAGGATTATATGTGGTAAAATGATTTAAGAGCAGCTTGAAGATGGCATGATCACATTAAGGTATACAGGATGCCCTATACTACAGAGATAAGACTAGAGGGAAAGGGAGAGGACCTGTGTTTCCCAAAAGAAGGATGTTTCATTAGAGTTAGTGATGGCTGTTCCATAAAGGAGAGAGGAAAAAGAACAACAGCTGTATTAGAGAATGAGTGTTTGGATCCCTGTTACTGTAATGCACTATGCTTTTGTTTTTGGCTATGACTTCCCCACCCCTACCTCTGTACTAGAGATTGAACTCAGGACCCTCAACATGTTAGGCAAATGCTCTAACCTGGTACCTGTCTAGTCCTTTTATGTTTATTTATTTTGAAACAGTGTCTCACTGAATTGCCCAGGCTGTCTTTGAACTTGTGATCTTCCTGCCTGAGCTCTGGCCTCATCTTGACACTCTTGAGAGAATATTAACTGTAGAGAAAACAAAGCTGAAGGGTTTTTTTTTTTTTAATTTTGTTCTCCCCCCCCCCCCCCCCTCCCCAATGCCTTCAGGGCAGGTCTGGTTTGGCTTGAAGATGAGGGGATTGAACCACAGCATCCTGAGCCTGACTGCTTTGTTTCAGCAGGCACTTAAACACCTGAGCTAATGGGCAGGCCCTCCAAAGCTGAGATCTTGTTGGGTCAGCTGTTAAACCTGCAGGCCCAAAGTAGGGCAAGGTGTTGCTCTTAATTGGCCTTGGTGTCAAGTAACAGTGACTTCTGAAATGTGTGCCCTCTGTGATGGGAGACGCTTGCTGTGTGCATCTTTGTAATACTGTCTTTTGAGCATCTCTACCTCTGAGAAAAATTATTTTTGCTCTAAATCAATTCTGAAGTAAATATTTAACACTTCTTATGACCACCAGAAAGGTAATTAAATATAAGGAGTAATATCATGTAATCCAGAGCATGACATTTGTCCTCAGGAACTTTATTTTTATTTATTTATTTATTTATTTTAAATTTTATTTTATTAAGAAACAAATATGAATGAGGCAGTTTCAAAGCTGATTAATAGGACAGTTTCGATAATCAATACATTGTACATTGTTATCTTCTTAGTGGTTATCCATAGTACAAGAAGCAGACAGGATATCCTGTCCAAACACTTATCAGTATACATCTTTCTTCTCATTGAATTAAGTGAAAGCTGTATATCTATCCTATTTTGTATATACAAATACAATATGATCTTTTCTTTTTAAAAAAAAATTTATTGAGAAACAAATATGAATGAGACAGTTTCAAAACTGATTAATAAGACAGTTTCAATAATCAATACATTGCCTCAGGAGCTCTACAACTTATTTCTGAAACATAACATTATTTCCAGGCCTTGTCCTGGGCATAATTTAACCTGGTGTTCTGTTTTTAAAAGCTTAGATTTATCTCTCATTTACTGTCTTACACAGAAGTCCAGTATTGTGTGGCCTTTATATTTTTGCTGCTGTCACATTCATGATGGCTTTCAATCCTCTGTATTTGGCTACCTCCCTTAGAAGTACAAAAAGGTAGCACCCTAGATGTGTTGCCTTTTCAAAGAGATTTTGCCAAAATGGTACCTGGTAGGTGTATAACCTACTACACTGACAGATTTAACAGAACACTTCAGTTCCTGCTACAAGCAATAAAATAGGTTTATCATAAGATGATCATGCTGTATTGAACATTTATTTCCTGAGATCCTTTCCTCCCCAATCTCCTATAAGACCACAGGCATTTCATGTCCAGGGTACTCAGATGGCCTGGGAGTCCTA